TTGATGAAGTCATGCGCGTCAGAGCTTTGCATTTGTTCGCGGTTGGACTTCATTCAAACTTCAAATCTTCATCGGCGCTCCACCAATTTTGTCGGCAAATCAAATGCAAGCGCGTTGACATACGCATGGATTAACATTAAGTGGCGACGGGAGACTTGCGTTGAATTTGCCGTTCTCTCTCCCCCTACTCCAAATGGACCCGGCACCATGACCAAATCAAGAAGGGACAGGGTGCAGGTGCCTGACGCGGTTAGAGCCTTCCCTAAACCTGCCGGCACACTGGCGCAGTGAGAGCGTCACAAAGGCTACCTTATGAAGGAGGCATTGCAGCCGGACTCCCAGTCCGTCAGTTAGCCGCTCTACATAAACACACACTGGACTGACCGCATGGTCTGAATTATTCTGGCTTTTAGTGTACCGCGATAACTTCAAACGCGTCGGTTTGTTTGTGGTTAATAAAATGTGCTGAGCCGTCGGCCCAGCTCTTTGTTTCCAGGCCATTGTTCCCACTGTCTGAGCCGGTAATTGAAATTGTGTGAGGAATGGGCGCAGCTGCTGATATATTTAGCGACAGTATATAAGTCACCTAGTGTTTAAGTCTCTTGCGGTCGCCTGTGTGGTTGCAGATTTAGCCTCATCTTGAAAATGACAGAGGAGTGATCGGTCGAGCAGTCGGCGCTACATAACGCTTTAGTCGCCAGGACCTCTAACTGGTTACGCCTTCGAACTAAGACGTAGTCCAGCAGATGCATGTGGTTTCAGGCTGTTCCACGCCGCCCGTTTCCGCGTCGGAAGTACAAGGATGTTGTTCGGGAAAAGATAGTGCACTTGATCGCTATGGGATTGACAGTTATAAAATCACTCGTCTTCTCTATGCCAACGCGGGCACACTCAGTTTATCAGCCTTTGGCGCAGACGCAAGGAACAGAACTTTTTCCTCCTGTCATCGTAGCTGGTCAGTGGCAGAAGACAAGGGCCCTAAGAAAGATTGAAAATCTCTTCCTATGGACAGGCAGCTGAGTGTTTATAAGTCTATCGCTGATGCCATATAGAAAAATAAAAGTCGTTTCACAATTAAGCTCCTGAAGAGGAAGGTGCCTATGTAATCCCATCGCCCTGCCCCTTGGACGTCCGCTTTAGAAAGACATGGATCTGGCCCCCACCACGTCCATCTGTCCCTCTTCTGAGAATAAGGGCTCACTGCGAACCGCATTGTCCACTTTTAGCAGGGCAGTAGGCATATGATCAGAACTTTCTTCATATATGGGTGGTTTGTTATTAAACGGCTTAAAATGGAACAGGCTGCCAGAAGAAAGAATGTCGCTTTGTCAACCTATAAAGGCACACGAATGCGGACGCGGACGAGGTGTTTTCTTTTGTATGTTGTTTCGGTTGCAGTTGTATGCGTCTTAAAACCACTATTAGCTTACCGACAGCATGTTTTATCAAGATTTTTCCAAGAACCTTTTTCGAGCCTCGTTTCTCCCCCTCCATGACGGATTCTAGTGTTGTCACCACCATGCTCCACCCGGCCGTGGAGCCAGAACTGCGATTTTGGAGGCGTACAGGTCGAAGCAAGGGTAATCACTATGTGAATCAAAGCCTTCGTTCGGAACTCTCAGTTTAACGTTTATAGAGGCACTTCCTGCCATCTACGTCATGTCTGCGTTACTAGTCCGCGTTGGTACTGCCTATGCTGCATTTCGCACGTGATGAGTTTTGATTAATGGATGTACGGCCAGGTTGAGGCATAGTTTGTTAAAGTGCACCGACCAGTTTGGAGTGACCGTACACAGGTGGGTCGCCGCTCACAGCCCACCGTAAAGTAGATTGCTAAAAAAGAAAACGAGTAAATAAAAAACTTAATAATAACGTTAGCCTAGTAGTCATTCTGGTGGATTCTAGATGATTGCTTAGGAAATC